ATGATGACGTTAGAAAACTGAATGCCTAAATTCAGTTTGATGGGATTTTTACCATACAAAAGCGTAATTTTCGTCTTATTTTACGGTAAACGGAAAACTGGTACAGTCTTTATAAACGTGGAATACTGGTACGATCCAAAATAATCAAGGTGTCCCAAAGTTGTATGGGGAAATAAAATAGGAAAATATGAACAATTATTTTTAATTTTATTTTACCGACGATTGAAGGAAAACCACGAGTGACTGCGAGTCAAAATAACCATTTTTTTAATCCGTTTATAATTAAATATACACAATACCTTAACGCCTAAAAGTTCAAAAATAAAAATACTTTTCAAGACAATTTACACAACAAATGTAAGAGCTATTTTTAAATAATATAGCAAAGTGTGTAAAATAGTTATTATCGATCATACGTTTTATATTTTTTTATTATTTTAAATAGGTACTTACTACTTTGTATGTATTTTTGTTTTTAAAATATTATTCAAATTTAACTTGTTGACGATGGTRAATATTATCAAAACTATATAAACATTGTAAATATTTAAGGACCCCTGAAAATTAAATTTTGAAGAGTATCAGTATTCCGCATTTTTATTTTTAGTGTTATAAATTCTATAGACTGTGCCAATATTCCGAAATCTATTTTACTAGGCTAAAAGAGGTTTAATAGATTGAAGTGTTTAACTACTAATGTGTATACCTTTTACTATACGTTTGGCCATATCGTTTATGTCTTCGGGAAAACAATTTAAATCTTTGATACTAAATTCGTTAGGTAGACATTTCCACGAAGTACGGGTTTCATTGGAAGTAGTATGGTAGTATTTGCCATCTGGGCCGTTATAGGTTTTGGATCTTCTAAGACCGAAGTCATTCTTTGAATCCATCACGCATTTACTTGATTGGTCGTTCATTATAGGATTTGATTTTAGTTTATGGTCTTTGAATTGCACTTTTGGACCCTAAAATTGTTCTTAAATTATTTACACACGTCGTTMTAGTTATTWMAACTAATAAAATATCCATAGTAGGTAGTATACAAGTTAAGTACGAAGAATATTACCTGAGTATCTTTTTGTTGTATGYATTTCATCTGTTGGAAATTATTCTTATATGCAAAATTATTTTTGAAATCGTAACTTTTCTTTGGAATATTAGGTTTAATATCACCGTTTGTATAGAATGTCCTTGATCTTGACAATACCGTGTTAGTGCTGTGTCGAGTTTCTCTGAAAAAGTTGTTTGTTACGTACCATAATATCATATTAATGCGATTAAATATTATTTAGCTTTCTAAGTAGTAATATAGAAATAACATCGAAATAGTTATAACAATATCGTCAAATATTACATTATTTCTAATATGTATTGGTGGATAATGAATAAGTAGGTAGGTACCTATGTTTATACCTACTCGTGTTTATTATATACGTAGGATTTTAGTAGAGCAACAGATTAACATTTATCAATAAAAATAAATTTAAACCTTGTCGTTTAACGAATATAGATTTTACAATGATGTGCATTTATTTCTGACATTRTCTTTTGGGGGTAACAATGCTTCTACTTTCAAATTTATGAGAAAGTTTTTAGTAAAGAATTGAATTTAGGTTGCACGATATGGGTTAAAAGTAAAATACCCACAGTTCCTTTCAAAATAATCAGGAAATATTGAAAAAAAATTAATGAAAATCAAGATTTTCATGCATAACCATTAAGTATTTGAAGAATTTTTTTTGTTTTGCAGATGTAACTAAAAATAAAYGACTTTAGATATTTGAAATTCTCACCAAATGTTTATTTTATCATTTGTGTAGGACCCAGAATTGTATCCGAAAATAATTTTCTAAGTATTTAGTATATACATAATATGTATATACTAAATACTTAGAAAATTATTATATATAATATGCATAGTGCATATATTTATACACTAAAAAATTCAAAAATACGCTATACAAATTATTGTATGTTATAAAATTCGAACATTTAAAAAATTAACTAAAAATAAATAAAGCGAAAAAATGAAATTTAAATATTAATATTTAAAATGTGTATATATCATTAAATGTATAGGTATTAAATATTGCATGAGTAACACATAATGTTATAAAATGTGCTTTTAAATATTATCAAATTGAAAATKTCTACAATTGTCACGTAGCATGATGATACCTAATGATGCATTACTATAGATGATAACATTTTCAACTGTTTATGAGCTATTTCTAAATATTTTCAATTTTCAATTTTTCAGATTTTTTTCTRAAAACGTATATTTACCATAAAAAATTAAAAATTATCAAGGATACATACACATGATTTATTTTTAAGATATTTCGACTTAACTTATTATCGTTCACTATATTATATTTTGTAGAAAAATGTCTATCTACGAATTAAGGATAGTAAATAACACTCACTCTGGTTTTACATCATTAGCTATAGACTGAGGAGCGGTATTGGAACGTTCTAAGGAGAACTCTTTGGCGTGCACATTCAGCTTAGTGCTATCCTCAGATATGTTTGATGCATCTTGAATATTTTTTGATTTCTGTGGACTGTTGGCTAYATATATATTATCACTGTTATTATTTATGTCACCTCGAACACCTACGTCATGCAAAATTCACGCCGTCAATAAAATTGGCTTCATGCTGAACACTCAAACAAAGTACCATTTATATTAACTATAGAAAAATATAAGAGTACAAATTAAACATATTAATTTCTTAGTACAGATATTACACCTAAATAATGTTAGAAAGTTAATCAATTTTATTTCGGTTGAATGTCAGTGAAAGTTTTTTATTTAAATAATTAACAAAACAAAGTTATTTATTATAAAGTTATAATCATGTCGTTTTTACTTTGATTTGTGTGGACGTTGAGTCTGAAATTTTTGATAAAGCACGCTTGCTAAATAAATTATTTGTTTTGTCTAAAAGTAACATTCATAATAAAGCTGAACTTTTAAAGAATTCCATATTTCATTAATTTTTTTTGAAAGTAATTTATTGTATTCACGAATCCGTGTGAAATGMGAAATGAGAACTGAAATTTATGTTTTAAACCAGTGTTGCCAATTAAATACTATTATTTACGTGCATCATCGTGGATCAATYAATGTCTGTTTAAGTTGAAATAATTTAAAAAGTGAGATAATAACTTTCAAATCTCATTAMCATGTTACACAACTGTAATGATTTGATTATCTATCAATAAAAGTAATCAAAAATCTACTATTTAAGAAATGCGAAAAAAACGTATGTCTAAATACCTACCTAACTTTTAAATTATAATATTACTATTGAAACTTCTATATTGATGTACCTAGATATTAATTAATCAAAAAAATTAAAATTCCAAATTCCAAATAATTTAAATATGTCTATGTTTATATTATATGGAATCATAGATAACTAGATAAGTACTTGGCGTTTAACTTTAAAATTATCACTCTGTATAATATTATGGTTTTAATCGTTGTATAGTTTACAGGAGTTGGTGGCTACAATAATTAATACCTATACTCTATACTGTTTGCATGTATACAAATAATACAATAAAAGTACGTTGAGTGAGTGGGATTTAAACAGAACAAAATTATTATAGTATAATTCTTAATGCATCACGTCATATTGAAGCAGATACGACAATGAAACCGTTCCAATGAGGTAGATTTGTTAGTTGAACTAATACGAATTGAATGTGTCACATAGCAACAAATTAAAACTTTAAAACACGCTYGTCAATCCATTAAAATGTATTAAAATGTATTAAATTCAACACTGCAGTACACGTTATACGATTTGTACGATGAACACATTTTCTTATACATATAATATATATTCTAATATTATGCAGATACTATATACATACTCGGTGGACGATAAATCGCAAGCGTGGGATGTTTCTTTTGTCCTAAAATACTGCTATTACTCYTATTCAAATAGCCTCCCTAACCAACAGAGAAGACAAGAATTAAAATTAATAAAAATATATTGTTAGCATAAACGTTAATAATATCATACAATTTGTTGTATTAATATTACAATATTCTGTACTGCGTGTTATATCCGTATACTTATACATAATATAGTATATTTATAAATAGGTACATAATCATATTTTATACGAGATTAGATGTAAGTTTTATACTAACGAGAAGAGAATAATAATAATTAATAATAATACACAAATATTGTTACGTATTATTATGTCCTCAAGTGGCTCGAGTGTAGTTCGGTTTATCAAACTCTTTAGTGTCGTTTGCGCTGAACACAATATAATTATTATAATACGTAAGTTAAGTATTTAAGTTAAGTATACGCATAACAAAACGTTATAACAAGCAAACCTCTTGTTTGTTGTTATGAAAAGCAGCGGACGAATTTTGCGGGCTGCAGTTGACAAAAAAACTCCTCTGGCGGTTCAACTCGTTTTCCAACTGTTTTTTGGTTTTCGTGTTTGACGGTTTACCTGCTGTAATCCGTTTGTACTTTCGGAAATTATTATTTCCAACATCCCCGATGTCACTATTGATATTGTTTTTACCCTGACTGTTATTGATATCCATATTTCTTATTCTTCAATCCTTCATCCGACAACTACTTGTATGCGTTAGTTTAACACCCGTACCTGAATAGCATAAGGTTTAGAAGGTAAAACAGTATGTAATATTGTAATGTATTAATATATCTTGTAAAAATAAAATAAAACTAATACATAGCATAGTAATACTATATTATGACTACGTACTGTGTATAAAAAGTAGCAGTCGGAACACGAAAAGTCGAGCGTCGAGTAATTGAGCCAACGCAACACTAGTTATCGACATCGTCGTCGTATAATAATATTAATACGTGCCAGCTAGTATAGTGAATTCCTACTCATTACAACCAGCCATGTATATATGTGTGTGTATGTGTATTGTATACAACTATAATGTATACATATATATATATATATATATATAATATGTATTACTTACAAGCAGTATATGTTCATACAGAGTGTCTGCGGCGGCGCACTGTCAACCAATGCGCTACGGTGTTAAAAATAGGTGAGTGGTTGTACTTATGATGTACTGTGCATTATGAAAATTAAAAATCCTTCGAAGATTTTGGCATGTTTTTTTTTTTTTTTTCATAATCAATTCGAGATGAGAAACAGTATCAAAATCAAATATGCATACAAAAGTGCCAAAGGCACGCAACAACCATATTTACGATAAAGTTATGTGCATTTCGAGCACTCTGTTGCGGCAGTGCTATTGTACGAATGCCGTGTGTAACAAGAGTAAAACGTAAAAACATCACTTAACTTCGGTGCAGAGCATACGTCTATAAATAACTCCATGCGCGTCCGACGATTCATTCTGTACGCATTTCATTTATATTTGAAACAATTTTGTTCTATACTCAATTCGGTACACGTGTGCCACATTRACGCAATCGTTTAGAGGACAACACTATAGYCAAATGGGTATTATTTTTGCTATTTTTTTATTTGGAATGGGAAGGAAGATGCTGCTGGTTAGTCGGTACTGTTGATCGGGACGCGGGCGCTCGTCGAAACATCTTTTACAAAAAATCTTAATGGACGAAGTCATTGAAATGACTATTTTGCTTGTACCTACGGCCGGCATATAAATATTAACGACAGATTTGGTGAATCTACAATGAGAATGTAGTTATTGGAAGTAGACGAGTGTCATATTTTGATATGTAAATATAGTTTTAATAGAATTGCACTTGA